TGCCAGGAGCATTGCAGGGAGGGCGGGAATCTGGAGTTGATGTGACCCTGGGGGTCACTGTGTGTCTGGCTGGTTGATGGTTGGGTGGGTTTGTCCATCGACTGGGGAATGACAGGAACGGGAAATCTCTGCAAATGCCCCAAAGGCAGTGTTCTTGGCCTCCCAGCTCACTGTGGTATCTATGGTGCCCGACCCAGAGCGCTTGTCGGGTGACTGATGGCCGTGGGTGGGGGCAGAGACCCCTTCTGTCTCTCACATCCCTCCTCTCTCCCATTGGATACAGCTCACGGAGGCTGGCGTACCCGAGACGGAGGCTGGCCTGCCACTCACAGTGGACGCGATCGATGATGCCTCCGTGGAGGAGGACTTGGCTGTGGCCGTGGCCGGTGGCCGGTTGGAGGAAATGACCTTCCTACAGCCCTATCCGGCCCGGCGCCGGCGGGCTCTGCTGCGGGCTGCCGGAGTGCGGAGGATCGATCGCGAGGAGAAGCGGGAGCTGCAGGCCGTGCGCCAGTCCCGCGAGGACTGTGGCTGTCGCTGTGACCGGGTCTGTGACCCCGAGACCTGCAGCTGCAGCCTGGCGGGCATCAAGTGCCAGGTGTGGGCCGGGGAGGGAGGCCCGAGCGCGGGGGCTTGTCTGGGCTCGGGGGGACCCTCTCTCACGCTCTGCTCTCTCTGCAGATGGACCACACCGCGTTCCCCTGCGGCTGCTGCCGGGAGGGCTGTGCGAACCCCAAGGGCCGCGTGGAATTTAATCAGGCGCGGGTGCAGACCCATTTCATCCACACGCTCACCCGCCTGCAGCTGGAGCAGGGGGCTGAGAGCCTGGGGGAGCTGGAGGCTCCCGCTCAGGGCGGCCCGGCCAGCCCCGGTGAGCAGGCGCTGGCTCCCACTTTCCCGCCGGCCAAGCCCCCCGCGAGCAGTGAGCTGGGAGATGACAGCTGTAGCAGTGACATGACCGACTCCTCCACAGCTTCAGGCACAAGCGAGACCCCCAGCGGCCCCACCTGCCCAGCCCTGCCCGGCCCTGGCTTCCAGCCTGACATGGATGATGACAGCCTGGCCCGGGTCCTGAGTTTCAGTGACTCGGACCTGGGAGGAGAGGAGGAGGAGGAGGAGGAAGGGGGAGTGGGAACCCTTGACAACCTCAGCTGCTTCCACCCAGCTGACATCTTTGGGACTGGTGACCCCGGTGGCCCAGCCAGCTGGACCCACAGCTATTCCAGCTCCAGCCTCACGTCAGGCATCCTGGATGAAAATGCCAACCTGGATGCCAGCTTCTTCCTAAACGGTGGCCTTGAAGGGTTGGGAGAAGGCAGCCTCCCGGGCACCTCGGTGCCGTCCGGCTCGGACGCTGGCCAGAGCAACTCCGTGGACCTCAGCTTGTCTTCCTGCGACTCCTTCGAGCTGCTCCAGGCCCTGCCAGACTACAGTCTGGGGCCCCACTACACCTCCCGGAAGGTGTCCGACAGCCTGGACAACCTCGAGGCACCCTACTTCCCCTTGCCTGCCTTCTCTCCGCCTGGGGACGCGGGCTCTTGCTTCCTGGAGTCTGTCATGGGCTTGCCTGACTCAGCCGCCGAGGCCCTGGCTCCCTTCATAGACAGCCAGTTGCTTGAGGACACCGCCCCAGCGTCTCTGGTGGAGCCTGTGCCCGTGTAAGGCCCCGGGGCACCTTGTCACGGCCCCAAGAGCCCTGTTGCTGCTTTGTTGTAATTTGGGGGCTCCCTGAGGCCTGTAGGTAAGGGTCTCCCGTTGGCTGGCTCGCCCGTGCGGGCACTCCTGATTTTTGTGCAACACTCTGGATTGATTTATTTATTTTTGTAAGTTTCTGTGCCGAAGAGAGGGCGGGGAGGGGGCCTTCCCTTTCCGCCACCCTGCTCCCCCGCCCCCCAAGCCCACACAGTCTCTCCTTCCACTTCCACGGTGTGCGTGCCAGGGACAGGAGGACGTAAGCCTTCCCTGGAGCTTCGCAGACCCCTTTTCGGTCTCAGATGATGTTCCTTAGCCCAAAGACAGCAAGACAGGGCAGCAATCAGCCACTTCTTACGGCTTCTCCTGCCATCCTGAGCCCCAGACCCATGGGTGGCTGCGTTCTCTGGACTGTAAAGACTATAATTTATTTCCATAATTTATTTGGAGACTAGGAGGTGTAGGCCTCTCCCCCCCGGCTGGCGGGCAATGCTGGGGTTGGGGTGGGACAGAGACCCCCGTGAGTCCCTTTTGCCTTGTAGTACTATATTCCTGCCCTTCCTGGGCTTTGGTATAAACCAGGTGTGGATTTGGGCCCTGTGGTCTGCTGTGGCAGCTGCCTGGCCCCGGGTGGCTGAGGACAGCGTCCAGGCAGGGGGCTGGGTGGGGCTGACCAACCGTGACCAAAACCTGCCCCACACGGCCTCCTCTTTTTCCTGTCCTCTGCCATATCTTCCTCCTCCCCAAAGGTCACAGCCTTCATTTGGGCCCATCAGTGTAGAAGGGAAGCAGGAAGCCCCAGCGAGGGCAAGGGGCTAGCCTCGGGGCCCGCAGCACGCCCCTGACCACTATCTCAGGGCTTTCTGGGCACGCATGCCAGCCTGGGCTGCCTGCCCATGCCCTGAGGCCACCTGGCTGGGGTGAGGGGCGGCTCCTTGTGGCTTTTATGCCGTTCGTTTGCTGATGTTAAGTTTTGCATCCTAATTTCTATATCGTCCCTGAGTGTTAGAGCTATATAATTTATTCATCTTTCTCCATGTCTGTGCCAAGAAGCCCAGGCTGTGGGCCTGCCTTCTTGCCTAGGAGGCCTTACCAGCCCGCGTGCTTGTGGGAACACCTTGTACCTGAGCTTACAGGTACCAATAAAGAGGCTCTATTTTTAAAACCGGTGGTTTGCGTTTGTGGGACCTGGAGATGGGGGTGGGGGGGGGGGGGGGGGGTCTACCCTCAGGAGGTGCTGGGGAGGGAGGGGGAGGCGGGACCTGCAGGGCAGCGTGGACACCGAGCCTCTGCTGGGGTAGGGGTGGAGACACCACATAGTGGGCCTCCTTCTGCACAGGCCAGTCATGGCCAAGTGGGAGGCTGGCCGGGCAGGGCAGGCCCAGCAGTTTTCTCTTTGTGTAAACCCGTCTCTCCCCAGTGGTCACCTGGGGTGTTGGGAGCAGCAGGGCAGTCTTCTGAGACAGGGCTATCTGCCCGGGGTTTTTCCCACTCGGTCACGCGGAGCTGGGGCCTGGCTTCAAGGGTGAAGTACCCCCTCCACACCCTCCCCCTTTAGGGGCAGACAGTGGGATGTAGCTGGTAGAGGCCTCCTGTGGGGCCCAGCGGCTGGGGTCCCTGGGGACTTGAGCCCCGGAAGACCTCCTCCTCCTGCACCAGCCGGACCCGTCTGACCTGTCCCCAGCAGGCGGTCTGACCTGTCCCCGGCCTAGGCCAGAGGAGCAGGCCTCGCCCTGCCCTGGGGAGTCCCAAGTGTGGGGCCTGAGGAGGAGCAAGGTCGACCTCCCCCTTAGGAATAATGGCTTATAGGAGTGCTGGGAGGGAGGAGGACCCAACAAGGACAGCAGATTTGGGTCTCCCTTTTCTCGCTCTAATCGTCTGCCTTTCGGCCTGGGCCGGGCTCCCCTTTATTTCATCTCTGTGGCTTCCGGGGTAAGAGCATGGACCCTGAGTGCCAGGTTCACATCCCAGTTCTGCCACTACCTGGCAAGGTGACCTATGCAAATCACTTCCTTTCTACGACTGCAGTGTCTTGCTGTCCCCAGTGCTGTGCAAATAATAACACTACTTGCCTCATAAAAGCTTTTTCAGTTCACGCATACACGGCACTTAGGAGAGTGCCAGGAGGGTGCAAGCCTTGTGTGCATGTTTGTGACTTCCGTTCTGTTTTCGTATTGCTGCCTCTCTGTTTTATCCCCTCTCTCTCTTTTTTTTTTTTTTGCCAGTTCTGTCACTCTTTGGGTATCTGTCTCTTGCCTCTGGACATGCATGGATGTGACCGTGTGGCCATATTGTCAGTGGCCGTGAGAGGACCCAGGGCTTGGAGCCTGGCCCGTGGTGCACAGCCTGTTCCTGTAACCAGCTTAGCCAGGGACAGCCAGGACTTAGGCTCCTCGGGGTGGAGTATCCTCATACGGTCAGCGATGCTGCCTCCCCTCTCACTGGTCCCTGGGAGCCCTTTTGCAGAGATTGTGTCAGCATGGATGCTTCAGAATCTGGGTCTCTCCAAGGGCTCTGAGGCCCTGCTCTGACGAGCCTGGGGGTCCAGGTGGCAGGTTCCTGCAGCCCCACCCTGTCCCTGGCTGGAACCCCCACAGGTTCCTGCCCCATGGATATGGCCCATGGCTGGACTGCACCTGCCCACCTCCCCTCTAGGGCAACAGGATCACTTCCTGGCTTTCTCTTCTTTTCTTTCTTTCTTTCTTTCTTTCTTTCTTTCTTTCTTTCTTTTTTAGGTAAATTAAGACAACTTAGGTTTTACAGCAACAAAAATGTGATTAATATACAATCCATGACAGCATCATTCTCCAGACGGGCAAACCTGTCTCTCAACAACCCACCCCCAAGAAACCGGATTGTAACGCAGATCCCAGGAAAAGGGACTGGTTTCCCAAAGGAAGGATGCTAAGTAACCTGGGGAAAGCGTTCCAGGTCATTGACCCAGACCAAGAGGCCGTGCACCCGATCAGCAGGATGTTATAGAAACAAGGTTCTGCTGTCACGAAGGATAACTGTCTGTTCTACAAGGGACCCCTGCCGGTTCAGTTTCCAAGCTGTAGTCACTGGACGACAACTCATAAAAACTGTACCACAGCTGCGTCCTCGTCCTCACGCTAAGTGCGTATTTCACTTTACATCAATTGTATCCATGTGCTTAAAAGTTAGAACCATTGTAACAGCACTCATGAGTTCACCAGTTCATCGTGCTGTTTTTCTCTAATAGAGAATATATAATATAGAGGAATGATGTTTTAACACATAGTTATTCAACTTCAGCTGTCTGCTGTATATCACTGGCAGGGATTTGTATCATGGTTTGGGAACACAGATCTAGTCTAATTTCCTGCCACAGAGGGGAACACGGAGGCCCAAAGAGTAGAAACTCTTGGGAAGGTCACACTCCAGGCTTCCAGTTCAGAGGTCCTTCCCCTGAGGCCTGACTGGCCCATTCTTGCCGTCATGAAACACAGAAGAGAGGTGTTGGGAGCTCCAGCCAAAAGTGACCGCTGTCACCCTCTTGCCAGGTACAAGTAATACAAGTCATCTAACTGGAGACACTGCTTTTGTCCCCAGAGGTGGCGAACAGGTTTCTGGAGGATTAAGTTTGTTGGTCAGTGTCTTTTACAAAATCTTAAGTGAGAACTATTTTTTCCTGGGCTGTATTTCCCCGTACCAGGCATGGGGAATCACATTTGTCCCAAACCAGAGAGGACCAGCCGAGGCCAGCCAAGGACTTGATGAGGAATCAGAATGTATGGACAGAGTGAGCCAATGAGCCTCAGAACCTGCAGGACGATGGCGTCCCTCGCACAGAACCTCAGCTACAGGGCCTTCTGAGCCGGCTCTCCTATCTGTGCCACTGCCGGGAAGGGTGTGCGGGCAGCAGGACAGGGGCGAGCAGTCACTTCTTGAGCTTGGGGGCTCTGGGGACCAGACGGGAGAGGGGAGGCACTGACCTAACCATATTAAAATCGCTGTGGGGATTTTAAAAAAATCACCTCTTTGCTCCCTCACAGAGTCTGGAATAAAAACGGAGCCCAACAGAAGGTGCCCAATGAGCCTGGCATAAACTAGCTTGGTTGATGCCCTTTTTTCCTCTGAGCAAAACTGCTTCTTGTGCCTGAAAAACACAAAGCTTTGGGATGCCCCTTAGATCAGACGAGGCACCATCCAAAGAAACCACACACCATACAGACACGGGAAGAATACGTCATTTTCGAATCTCCTCTCACCGACCCACTTCTGATCTCTACTTCTGTAGAAGTGAAATGTCTGTAGGTTGATGGCTTCTCCCCGCCCTGGCTCCCACTGACCACAGCTAGGGCCTCAGAGACCCTTGGGCCTTTTCCAAAATTTCTTCTCTGATTTGGGGGTAGTTAGGATGCTCTCCGAGGACCTGGGAACAGAGGGAGAAAGGGTGTGCGGCATCAGGCAGGGCCCTGTCACCAAGCCCCTTCACCCCTCCTCCTGGTGCCTCCCAGCTGCTGATGGTGGCTTACCGTGTGACAGACTTCAATGGCCTCCACAAATCTCTTATCCTTCAAGTAGTTGAAAGCGAGTTTGAAGCCTGTCCAGGGGCAGAGGAAACACACACGGTGGCACCTTGACCACCCAAGAGCCAGGGTGGTGATCCTCCCGCCCAGCTTCCTCCTCACCCACATGGGCCCTGGCTGGTGGCCTTACCCACGGCCGGGCTGGCGTGATGACTGTACTTCCAGGCCAGCTCGTAGTTGGCGGCTGCGTCTTTGTAGGCCTGCTCCTTCTCCATGATGAAGCCCATGTACTCATAGGCCCTGAAGCAGGACTGCAGGGAAAGCCATACCGGATCCCAGCACAGGGTGGAACCAGCGGTGGGGGGAGGGGACACGGGGCGCGGGGCGGGGCAAGGGAGGGTGGGGAGCCGCATTAACGCCGACCTTTCACCGACTCCAGCAGCACCCCCCACCTTTGCTGGGGAGGGGTCACCTGTGCGCCCCTTCTAGGATACCCCTATGCTTGCATGGCCCCTTTCTCCACAGCGCTCTGCGCTGACCTGCAGGCCCCTGGACCTCATGAACCCTTCCCATCTCTCTTCACCATCCCGCATTCCCCTCTCCCGGCTCCCCGACTCTGCGCGCCTCCTCTCGCCTCGCCCCTGCCCTTGCATCTCCTCTGCCCCCACGCCCCGCGCACCCCTCCCGGCCGCCTGGACGGGGCGTCCCCGCTTCCCCGACGAGGGCAGCGCGCCCGCCCTGCCTTGTTGTATTGCACGCAGCGCCGCAGCAGCTCCGAGGCCAGGTCGAACTTGCCGCCCTGGCAGTAAACGTCAGCCAGTAGGAGCCAGCTCTTCTCCAGGTCCTCGGCCTCGTCCGGCGTCCACGGGGCCTTGGCCAGACGCTTCAGCTGCGTGCGTGCCTTGGGGACCTGCTTCAGCAGCGCGTGGGCCTGCGCCATGGCCAGCAGGGCGGAGACGCTGTCCTTCTGCACACGGGTGGGAAGCGGGCGTCGGCGCGCTGGGCCCCCCCAGCCGGGCCCCCCACGGCCCACCCAGCGAGCCGGCCCACCTCGGCCTGTGCCATCGCGATGAAGGTGCCCAGCGCCGCCTCCACGTTGGCCTTGTCCCTGGTGGCCAGCAGGCAGAGGCTCTGCAGCAGC